TTCCTAACAGGCCATGGACCGCTACTGTGGGCTGTTAGGAAACTGAACCACAGGGGTTGGAGACCACTGGTTTAGACTTTATTTCCAACTTTAGATTCGTTATTTAATATTAAGAAGGCAACAATAAGGATTTCTATCAAATAAAAATATATAATTCCACTTTTAACCATTTATATACAGCAAACAGTAAATTCTATTCAGTGAATTCTGAGTTTTCTCTCACTAGGAATTTATAAAGTCTTGATAAGTATGGTAACGACAATGACCTGTTCTGTTCAAGGTCCAGCTCTCCATTCTTTCACTGTCTAATTTCTGCTAATTTTCTCCTTTATAATCCACACCATTCTGGTGCCATGAGCAAATGAGTAAACAGGTCCAAATATTATCAGAAATCACAATATATATTCATGGCTTAAGCCCCTGAAAGATGTGAGGGGCTTATTAAATGAAACTAGTTCATTTAATAGTAATTGCATATTGTTCAGTTTTTAAATAACAGCATTTTTTTCAGCCTTACTGAGGTATAACTCAAACAAAAATTGTATTATTTAGGGTGTACAATTATACATACATTGTGAAAAGATTACCACAATCAAGCTAATTAACATATCCATTACCTCACATAACTCACTTTTTTATGGTGAGGACACTTGTGATTTACTGTGTTCTTAATCAATTTCAAGTATATAATACATTATTATTAATTGCCATCATGTTGTAATTAATTAGGTCACCAGGACTTATTCTTAAAGGTTTGTACCATTTGATCAACATCTCCTCTTTCTTTCAACTTATCAGCCCCTGGCAACTACCATTTTATTCACTGTTACATGAATTTGGCTTTTTTTTTTTTTTTTTTAAGATTCCACATATAAATGAGATTATGAAGTATTTGTCTTTCTGTGCCTGGCTTATTTTACTTAGCATAATGTCCTCAAGTTTTAACTCTGTTGATGCAAATGATGAGATTTCCTTCTGTTTAAGGCTGAATGATTTTCCACTGTTTATATATCCACCACATCTTCTTTTTCATTCATCTGTCATTGGACACTTAGTTTCCATACTTGGCTATTGAAAATAATGTTGCAATGAACATGGAAGTGCAGAAATTTCTTCAAGATACTGATTTTATTTACTTTGGATATATACCCAGAAGTGAGACTCTGAATTAAAAGGAAGTTCTAGGTTTAATTTTTTACAAAACTCCATATTGTTTCCCATTATGGCTGTAATGATTTACATTCTCACCAAGAGTGTGCAAGGATTCCCTTTTCTCCACACACCCTTGCCAACATTTACTATGTCTTTTTTTTTTTTTTTTTTTTTTTACAATAGCCATCCTAACAGGGGTGAGGTTGATACCTCATTGTGGTTTTAATTAGCATTTCCCTAGTGATTAATGATGCTGAGCACCTTTTCCTATACCTCTTAGTCATTTGTATGTCTTCTTTTGAAAAACATCTTTTCAGGTCCTGTGTTCATTTTTACATTGAGTTATTTGTTCTTTTGCTTGTGAGGTATTTGGGTTCCTTATACATTTGGATATTAATTCCTTATCAGACATATTATGGTTTGCAAATATTCCATTGTGTAGGTTATCTTTTCATTTTTTTCTTGTTTCTGTTACTGTGCAGAAACCTTTTAGTTCGATGCACTTCCACTTGCTTATTTTTGCTTTTGTTGCCTGTGCTTTCAGTGTCAAATCTAAAAAAAAATCATAGCTGAGACCAATGTCAACAAGTTTTTCCACTATGTTTAGTTCTAGGAGTTCTACTGTTTCAGGTCTCATGCTTAAGTCTTAACCTATTTTGGATTGATTTTTGAGGACACCAATCATTTTCATTTTTGTATTATTAAAATAATATTGGTATAATGCCTGATATAATAACAGTACAGGAATTCATCCTTTTATTTGAAAGGCTCCAATTTTCTGTCTATCTCCGACTACTCTTTCAATAGTTCTCTTTTATAAGCTAAACCTGTAAATGGGAAACTCAACCCGATCTGGTCCCTTTTTTCACATTTCCAGTCCCCTCCAATCTGCCTGATTTCTTTCGCTCCCTATAGTCCTCAGGTAGTTGTTTTCTGTAGCGTTGTCCGTTGATTTTGCTTCCCGCAAATTCAAACGCTGAAGTCATAACCTCCATTACTTCAGAATGTGACCTTATTCAGAAATCAGGTGATCACAGATGTAATTAGTTGAGACCACATTAGAGTCAGGTGGGCCAAATTCAATGTCGCTGCCATCCTTGTAGAAATGGGAAATTTAGACACAGACTCCCATACAGGGTGAACACCATGTTAAGATGAAGGCAGAGAATAAGGTGATGCTTCTACAAACCAAGAAACGTCAAAGGTTGCTGGCAAACCACCAGAAGCTAGAACAGCGGCATGGAACAGATTCTCCCTCACAGCCCTCAGGAGGAACCGGTACTGCTCACCCTTTCATCTCCAACTTCTATACTCCAGAACCATGCCAGGAACAAATTTCTGGAACAAATTTCTGTTGCTTAATCCTCCTAGTCTGTGGTACATTATTATGGCTGCCCTAGCAAACAGATGTAATGTGCACAGAGATTATAACGGGTGGTTCATTAAGAGCTTACTCCACCAAATCAGAAGCAAAACTATCTTCACTTGCCTCAGAATAATTTCACCTTCTGTCTATCCTTTAGTTTCCTTATCTGTAAAACAGGGATAATATCCCCTAGCATTTTTGGAATAAGGTAGGCTGATATATGTGGAGCACTTAGACAATACCTATAACATTGTATGCTTTTGATGGTTATTAGCTATTCCAGTCCTTCACTCATTTAAACTATGTCAGGCTCTGTTATAGGCACTCTAGGTACATCACCAAACAAAACAGATAAAAATTTCTGCCTTTATAATTCAGTGAAGCTTACATTGCAGTGACAGCATACAGAAAAAAATAAGTAATTTATGTAAATATGTAATATGTAGGCCATTAATAAGTTCTATGAAGAAAAATAAAGCAGAAACTGTGGATTGGGAAGGCTGAGATTGGATCAGGCCATTTTTTATAGGGTAGTCCAGGGAGGCATCATTGAAGGAGGGAGAAGGGTGAGCCATGTGCATACCTGGGGTGGCAGCATTCTGGGTAAAGAGAATAGCAGGAGCATGTGCCCTGAGGCCAGAGCCTTCCTGGAGTAGTCAAAGAACAGCAAGAGGGCCAGTATGGCTAGAGCAGCGTAAGAGAGGTGGAAGGCAGTAAGTAGGAGATGTGGTCAAGAGGTAACAGGTGACCAGATTGTACAGGACCTCAAAGGGCTTTGACTTTTACCCTGAGTGACGTAAGAAGTAGTTGGAGCTTTCAAACACAGGAGTGATATGACATGAGTTACATTTTTATCGAAGTACCCTGACCACTATGTGAGAGTAAGTTTGATAGAGGCAGGGGCTGGGAGGGAAGGCCAGAAACAGGGAGACCAGGTAGAAGACCATTTCTGAAATCTAGTCTTGGGATCACATTGGCTCTGACCAAGGTTGTTCAGTAAAGGAAGAAAAACACAGATGCTATAGATGCTTTAACAGAATTTCTGGATGATTTGAATGCGACATTTGAAATAAAGAGAGGAGTCATGGATGACGCTGAGGTTTGGGTCCTGAGCAGCTGCAAGTGTATTTCCATTAATGGCATCAGGCAAGACTTTCAGAACAAAGATTTAGAGAAGGAAAGAACAGAGTTGTTGTTACGGTTGTTCTTCCTCTTACTATTGTCATTATTGCTATAATTAAGGTAGCGTCATCAATCCTTTCCCCTTTATTCTCAGTCTCATCTTCTGTCAATTTTCTTCTTTTTCTAGCAGATACTCAGTGACGGCACACCTATGCCATGATTTGCTCAGCAAGTTACATCTAGCTGCTCCCTTTTCCTACTGTGATCTAGCCCCACAGACAAATAAGCGGACACTTAACACATCTCTTTCCTGGGCACATAACCTTGAATCTCCCTCTCTGCTTCTATAGTCACGCCTTCTTGCTCTCACCCCCACAGAAAACACCTGCCTTTCCTTCTTTTGGAAAAGACACTGGTCTTTACTTTTTCTCATTTTAACCATTTTTCTTCCTCTTACTCCAATTTTTATTAATCCTTGCACCACTTCTTACCCACTAACAATACTGTCTGCTCTCATTTCCATTAATTCTCCTATGACGTCTCAATATCACAATAAATCTCCGAACCTTTCTTCCTGACTTATCCTTTACCTTTGGTCCTAGTTACAACTCTTTGCAATAGGAAAAAGTCATTTGATGTCTCTGGGTCTGTTTGCTCCTCTGTAAAATAAAGGCATTACATGAGATTATTTCTAAAGATACTTTCAGCTTTAACTTCTGATCCAACTGATTCTGCGTTTAGCTCTTCAGTGATTTTTCATGTGTGGCAAGTTCCATTTCATTTCTTATTTCCTAATTCACTTTCAAATCTCTCCTTTCATTACTTTCTTATCATTTCCAAAGTCTTAACCACATTTTTCATCATTATTTCTTACACCAAGCCAAGTGGTTTTTACCACACCTTAATGATGGTCAAAAGAGAGTGTTTTGCGTTGTGTTTTAGATTTTTTTCCTAATGCTGGCAAGCAGAATGATAGAGGGATAATGTTTCAAGTCTGAAGGAAAACAACCTCATTTGGACATTCTTTCACCATGAATGAAATCTTCTTATGATTACCTTTGAGGAATCCGTGATTGAAAAGTTTTGTTAAACACCAGTGACAAGCAGCTACTGGCATAATATCTGCTTTGATTTTCTCAGACACACTCTAAGTTTTCATGCTCACTTCTCTGTGGTCCCTCACCTCTGACTTCCTTTGTCATGTAACTGCCAATTTTGATCGGTTAATTGACAGAGGAAGGGTGACAAGAAAAAAGAAACAATTTAGCTCAGTGGATTGGCCCCTTTACAAATAAGGAAACACAGTTTGTCCTAGATTTCAGACTAAGCTGATAACATTTTAAAAATCCTGTACAGAAAGGTCTTTTTAAATGTTTTTATTTACCAAAAGTTTTGGGTGATTTTGAAATACATTAGACATCCCATTCATTGAGGAAAGGGTGATTTATTCCAAAACATTCTTTAAGAGTCCTAAAATGATTTTGTCTATCAGAGCAGAAGGAAAAAAGGGAAAAATCCACCTGAGAAAAGATCTTTGTATCATGGAAATTATGAAGCTAGATTAGACATTAAAGAAATTCACACACACACATAGTTTAAAATTCCATTTTTAAGATTAAATTTTCATGACACATTATGACTGTAAATGAGTTACTTGAATACCAATTATTACCTCTAGTTATTTTTAGCAAGGGAGCTGGACTTCACTTTACTTAATGCTAGCTTATAAATTTAACTTCGTAAAATTATACGGGAAATGCGTCCTGGCTGGCTGCCTCTGCCCAAAGCAAATGTCATCTCCCCTAAGTGCCCCAATTATATCTCCCTGTCCTCTGAGCTCCACTGAAACTTACCTTGTATCCTTCTTGTCCCCCACACCTTCTAAATAAGAGTCTCTTGCATCTATCAATATGTGTTTGTGGAAGAAAGGAAGGTGCAGAAAAATAAATGCACATCATAGTTTAATTAAGAAAGTAAGGGCTTTGAATCAAATCTAGCTTTGTATCTCACTGCATCTATTTATTCATTGTGTGACAACAGACAGTTGATTTAACCCCTCTGAGCCTTAGTTTCCCATCTTTATCATGGAGATAATGAGACCTTCTTCATTGGATATTGTGAAGATTAAACTGGATATGATTATAAATCACCTTGCACATAGAGGCTCTCAATTGAAAAAAACACGTCTCTTTTTTCTATTCTAGCATATCATTCATGGTCCAACCCTGCATTGCAGTTGTTGAATGCAGGTCTGTTTCTAGGCAGCACACTTTTGAAGGCAACGTTGTTCATCTCTGTATTTCCTGTAGAACCTAGGGTGATGAGCTGCATAGTCTGGAGGCACAGGAACTGCATATTATACTAAATTGAGGGCTGAGCCAGGATGGCCGAGGCTGTGAAGCAATTATCCATGGATTTGGTCGTTTGGGCTCTTTCGGTAGTATAGGTCCTCTCATGAACTCCCACTCTGGTCTTAAAACAGCCCATCATGTTTTTAAATTAGCTTGCACAAAATACAACTACTTTCCTAGATTCTTTGGCAACTGATCAGAACACTATTCTGTGTCTCGCTACGGAAACTCCTGCAGGCATATCGACCATACCCTTAGAAAGACAAAACTGAATGCACTACATGGTGCTGGGAAAACAAGTTGTGTTGAAAACAGCACTAAGTCAAATAGACTATTAACTCTAGCTTGCCCTTGACTGGTCATGAGACCTTGGGCTAGCTACCTATGCCCATTAAGGGTCAATTTAACTTCTTGATATCACAACTATAAAAAACAAGGGTATTTTTTGCTTTGTTTGGCAGTTTTGAGGGAAAACAACAACAACAACAACAAATGAGAGATAATTCTACTTTGGTTGTTACACAGGGTTGTTGGGTAGAGAAGGAAGGTGATGTCTTGGAATAGACTTTAACAACTGTGAGGCAGGATAAAAATGAAGTCCTGAAAGCCATCATTTTTTGACCACAGTGAGCTCTTCTTTTGTAACGGTTCAGGCTTCTAACCTTATTTCTTCCTTTGGCAACTGACCAGCTCACGCACACACACTAGTGATGAAATCCACATAGTTCCATATCTTTTCCTCTGTATGGCCAAGAGTTTCAGTGCAACAGGAAAGTGCTGTCATGGATCCATCGTGCAACACATGCAGTGCTGTAAAGCAAAGGCCTCATCTGCCCGCAGGCAGCAGGAACTGCACTCATTACCCTTCTGTCTTATGTACAGCCTAACTGCTTCGTGCCTCTTCTCATGTGTGAGTCACAGCTTTCTTGTAGAGTATTTCAAAAATACAGCCCCAAAACAAAGCATAATCGAAAGTCATCCCAGATGAAAGTGGTTGGCTTGGGGGAAGTCACACAGTCCTTTCAGTTTAGGTAGAATCCTTGTTTCTAGGTCATTTTACCAACATCACCCCAGGCTCCTTAGGGAAATCAGGAGGGGGCAGAAGCAGGCTGACCAGCTACAGACTACACACAGAAGAACGAACCTTCCCAAATTTCTGGAAAAAATCTTCTTGTGCACGGGCCAAAGCCTCTTCATCAATGTAGACAGCTGGCCTCTTGGCCATGAGGAAATACTGCACCTTCCTCAGATTCCAGCCCATCACGTACTGGAACCAGCCGCAGACAGCCGCGGTGGAGCGGCCCACCCCAGCGTTGCAGTGCACATACACGATGTGTCCCTTCTCCAGCAGCGCATGCAGCAAGCACACTGCCTGGGGCAGCATCTGCACTCGACCTGCGGTGGGGAAAGCACAGCACACATGTGAATAATAAACCACCAGATACCGCCACTGAGATCTCCTCCACAGCCTGAAATCACAGGGATGCACATGGCCAGGCAGGGATAAGAGACTTTGCTTTCTTCCTGCATTGTGAAGGAAAAGGTGAGATCATTTTACAACCTGATAATAGTAAAGTGGAAAGAGCATTCCAGAGGGAGAGGCCCTCTCTAATCCTTCCCTGGGTATTGCTACTCCTTTGGGTGACTTCGCCATCCATGCAAATATCCCTCCAAAGAAAAGTGACCTATCACCTGTCATCAGAATGCACTTTCACATCAAAAGTGTTTGCAGATGGTCAGAATTTTAGAGGATTAAAAAAAAAAAAAAAGTTGTCAGGTCTGGCCACCTGAATTACAGTGAATCCAAAAGTATCTTCCAGCTAAATGTAAAACACAGAAGTGGCCCATAATAATTAAAGGAATCAATCTGTTCATTCAACATATGCTCATTTTCATTTGTTTGATGGAATGGTTAACATTATTTGATACAGATGGGATAACCAATTGTTCATTTATTCCCTCAAGATACGATGAATGCTAAAACTGATTTAATTTCTGTTTTCAGGAAATTATATAATTATATAATTTGGGGTTTATAGCTATTACCATTTCAAGGTTACCATTATGATTATTAGATTATTCAAATGTCTTCTTATCACGCCAGGAGAGGACACGCTATGCCCTGCTGAGGCCTGGTAGACTCTGCTCCGCTCTCTCATCCCGTGGGACAGAGAGGTGTACCACAGTCACTTCTTAGAGCTCCTGGATGCCTGAAGTTTCTCCTGCTCACAGGTTCTCAGTACAGAGATATTTTGTAAGTTCGTTTTTTTTGTTTGTTTTTTTTTTTTCAGGGGGTGGTCAATGTAAATTATTTCAAAGGGAAAGGAAGAGGGAAATGAGAGTGTCCTGGGTTACAGCTCTATGCTCATGACTTGGCATTCTCTAGCTACAGGAACACAGTGGCCCCAAAGGATACTCTGATGGTCACATACAAGAGCCCTGTGTGGCCTTCACATTGCTATCCTTATTGGATGACCAAAGAGATGGGAACAACCGTCCCTCAAAAGATTTCACCTGGGGATCTGCCGTGAGGCCTAGAATTCTCCCATGACAGCAACTCCCCTAAGTTTATATTTCCCTCTTTAGATGTCCTTTGGTGAAATACAAGTGCCCCTGAAGGAGCCAACACAACACACTGAGATGAGGCATCAGCACCTGAGAAGGACAGAGTTTACCAAGGACCACAATGTGGCTTGAAGGCCTCTCACTGGCCATTCCATCTAGCCAGGCATCTACCTCAGCTTCAGGCTCATCAAGCTCTGAGAAGGGGCAGAGTTCACATGGAAGCCAGGATAATATTCTTATCTTGTTGCTGGAGCTCTGTTAACCCCCTAGTGAAGAGATCTAACACTGCACGCTCCACACAGCAGTTTAGAATGTACCTGGAATGCCTTCAGGCAGGAAGGACACAGGTTCGGTTTTTTGAGCTCCATCCCTCTCTCACCTGTTGCCATACATTGTTGTTCCCTGCCTGGTCCCCGAAGGCATTTGTATTAGAGAGTTACCAGCTTCTATGTATATCTGATTCCTCACAGTCCAAACTGAACCATGAACTTTAACTCATCTAAACCTCCACACCTGATTCCAGGACACTCTGAGATGACAGTGAGGTAGGCCTGCCACTCATGGTGCCCTCCTAGAGGTACTAAAATATCACTGGAGATGCAACAGGATGGTGAGAGCATCATGTGTGACAGTGAGATGTCTCAGTATGTCTCAGGGAGAGCACTGCATGGCGGATCCACCATTTGCGCTGGGGGATCAGAGGAGCAAAACCTCCGATGTATGATGGATCAGCCCTGCTGAGAAGGGAGAGGCCTGCTCCACTGCGGGGCTTCTGTTCTGCTGAGGGTATGAGAAGTTCACTCCTGGGAAAGCTGGGTGGGAGGAGAACTCTGCTGCTCAAGCTGGAAGCATGGGTTCTTCCTGCTCCTGCCACAGTTAGCATCACCTGACAAGCTCCCTGCGGTGGTTGTCTCTAGATACTACGTGCCTTGGCAGGAAACAAAGAAGAATCATTTAATGTAGGTTCAGGCTTTCCTCAGATGCCCAGTATGTGAATAGCCCACAGTGGTCATCAGCAGAAGGAGCTGCTGGACTCAGAGTCCCAGCCCCTCGCACTCAGCGCATACAGCATCAGTGTAACTGGCTTGCAAACAAGATTTTCCCTGGTGCCAGTCAAGATCCCTTCCCCAGACCTGTTCTCTGGCCAGAGGTTTCCCTAGGGTGGGTCTGCACCAAATATTGCAAATGATGCAATACATTTCCCTTTTCATTTTATCTGTAAAAGATTCTTCAAGAGGTATGTACATAGTTTAGACGTTAAAAAGTGACATGTGTTAGTTTGAGGTTCTGTGATCTCAGGCACATACTCCTGAAAGGTATATGTCAGCAAACATCGAAGCTCGCAAGGCTCCCAGCTTCACACAGATTTCAGCATCGGGCACAGCCATCAGTGATCTTCTCCCAGAATCACTCAATCATTGCACTGAAGGATGAACAAACATTTAATAAACATAGAGAATAAATAAATAAATAAGAAGGGTATCAGAGGCCGAGCATGGTGGCTTATGCCTGTAATTCCAGCACTTTGGGAGGCCAAGGTGAGCGGATTGCCTGAGGTCAGGAGTTCAAGAGCAGTCTGGCCAACATGGTGAAACTTTGTTTCTACTAAAATTAAAAAAAAAAAATATCCAGGATTGGTGGTATATGCCTGTAATCCAGCTACTCAGCAGGCTGAGGCAGGGGAATTGCTTGAACCAGGGAGGGGGAGGTTGCAGTGAGCTACGATCATGTCACTGCACACCAGCCTGGGGGAGAGACTGAGACTCCATCTAAAAAAGAAGGGTACCAGAGAAGTAGGTGGTCCAGGGTGCCCACTCATCTCAGCCTGGCCACAGCTGGAGGCCTGGTTTATTTTGATCTCTTGTGACTGCAAATCACCCTCTTTGGTTGATGGTAGATAACATTTATTGAGCCCTTTCTACCTTCCCAGCACTGTCGTTAACATTTTACACGTGCTAGCTCATTTACAACCACCTCTTAACAACTATGGGGTCAGCACTATTGTGATCTTCAATTTATATATTAATAAATTGAGCACAGACATTTGCCCAAGGTTATTCCCTAAGTGGCCACTCAAACTCAGCTAGCGTGACTGAAGCCGCAGGTCTTAACCACTGTACTGTGGTCCTTCCCTAATCCACCTGGTTAATGGTACTTGTTGGCCCCCATCTTGTCAATCTGGATTCTCAGTCAGTCCCTCTGCACTCACTTACCAGCCCATGCTGGTGGTCTTACCCTGGGTAGGAATAATGTCCTCCCTGGAGATTAACACCTCTGCCCCACCCTAGAGGAGCCCTCTCAAGAGGACCATCTCTCTCTGCTTGAAACCTATTCTAGGAAGTCTAACCTAATATGTGACCCACCAAGGAATAGAAAGAGGGTTCCCAGGAGGGTCATCTTGATGTGCCCAGCTCAGCAGAGCCAGTGTCAACCAGAGCAGCTATAGATAGGTTCCACGTAGAATTTAATTTGATGTTGCCATTCTTAAAAACAATAAAACCTCAAGACAGAAATCCAGTTCTTTTAATGTAAAATATTCCAAACTTTAAATGTTGACAACTAAGTTGAAAACTGTAAACCCTTTGCAGATCAAACAAGACATTCTACCCTCTGTGTTTCTGACTCTGTAATTTAATACAGGCCCTGGTTCTCAATAGATGCTCCATACACACTCATTAAGTCCATGAATAAACACAAGACTAGAAAAACAACAATAAAAACCTATTTGATCTGAGACACTACTAAGCACTTCTAACCTAACTTGTGGTTCACACCTGCTCCAGGCTAATCTGACTCTGGACTGATTAAAAGCTCTCTGAAAGCACTACTGAGCCAGTCAAGGTTGTGAGGGAGGGAGAGGTAGAGCATTTGGGCAGGTAAGTCAAGTAGCCTGAGGCATTAGGGCCTGAGATAAAAGAGAGGGTCAAAAGGCCCTAAAGATAAGCTTTATCTAAGGTTGATCCTGAAAGAAATCCACAGCTTTCAGCCTTTCTCTCTCTCTCTCTCTCTCTCTCTCTCTCTCTCTCTCTCTCTCACACACACACACACACACACACACACACACACACACTCTTTCCTTTCTTACTCCAGGAGCAGATATATGATGAATATATTATTTGGGGGGCATATCTTTTTTCCATCTTTGAAGTGTAATATAGATAGGATCCACGTTATCTATAACATCCTTTGGTAGAAACTTAAAGACTTGGAACTAATCCTATAGTTCCAACATTGTGATTTTCAAAGCCCTTTCTTATCAATTATCTTATTCTACTGTTATAGCCCTGTAAGGTGGAAAATACTATCTTCATTTTCTTAATGCATGAACTAGCCTGCTGATATCCTCCCAGCTACCTGGTGGTGACAAGGCTTACGCCCAGGTGTCTTGGCTCCAAGGTTAGCATTTCTATGCAATGGGAGAGCTGAATTCAGTGTGTTGAGCAAGGGAAAAGAAGTCAGACTTTGACAACAGAGGGGTAGCTGAGGACTTCATGAAGCCTATGAACTCATTTGGGAGGCAAGGGTAGACATTTGTTATAAATAGCGCTGCAGTGACAAAGGTCAAAACACAACCTGAATACTTTCTATGCAAAGAAAATTTTAATGAGATCTGTTTCATTTTGTTTTGTTCAGGTGAGTTAGATTTGGCAGGTTTTCATTCCCTAGGTGAAAGACACAAACCAAAATGTTTATAAAAGATTAAAAAAAGAGAGAGAAATCTACACCACCCTTCCATATACGACAAAGTGCACAAGTGTAAGGATCGATCACACGATTGATTGTAACAGGTCTGTGACAACCAGCAGTGACAGTCAAGCCTAACAAACTGTCTTCTTTCTCAGACTTCAACTGACAGCATTATGCTGCAACTCAAAACACTTCCAAGTGGGTTTTTCTCTAGAGTTCTAAAAATATTCAGCTGATTAATCTATGTGTTCATTGGGCTAACACTGTGAGCCACAGAGATCGGTCTATTGATAAAAAGTTCCCCTCCCACTCAAAAGTGGTTGTTAACCCTTGGATTACCCACCCCCGACCCCGGTTAAGCCAAGACATAGAAATCCATTAGTCGGTCTTACAGCTGGGCCTTTATCTAAAGTGGAAGCTTGCATTTTGCAGCTCAAATGCCACAGCACTGTCTCAGCCTGAAAGAAGTTCTGCTGCTGCACTAGCAGTTAGGACTGTGACCTGCTGACCCACTGACCGCAAAAAAGGTGTGAATATAATGACAATGGGTCCTTGGGGATATAGTTTTCCCTCAGGCTTCCGCAGAGTCCCAAACTATCAAGCAAATTACCGATTTGTCAGCAGAGCCTTCAAGTAATCAGTGTGTGGGTTGGGATGGGATGGCAGGGGATACGTGGCACAGTTGGCAGCCCAACTTCTCCTAGCCTCATCTCACATCATTCTCCAATGGGATAACGATGCTGTCAAATCAGATTCAGAGATGCTAACATCAAAATGCATTCTGGAAGCTACAGTTCTACAAATCCTAACTATCTTCTCTGTTTTGAAACCAGGAAAACCAGCTGGACAAGGTGAATATCACCTAGATGCAACCAATGTGCATCTTTGCAAATGAAGTTTTTCTTTTTTTCTTAATTGAAGAAGGGCAGAGCTCTTACAGCTAAATCATGCTTCCTTACATCAGGTTACCAAGAGGAATAAACAGACTGTCATCAGCGCTCTCCACCTTCAGGAACAAAAATACCCATCCCCAAGGATAATTCAGCTCAGACACAGACCAACAAAGGGGCCCAGCCTGGCCAGGAGGACCACCTGAGATCCATAAAGGCCTCAGGTGGGCAAGGCCCAGGAATGTAGGTTTCCTGTGGTCCTCATGGCCTTCTATCTTGCAGACCATTCACTCTTGGGGAGACAAGCTACTTCCTTTGAAATTTGCAGGCTCTGCCTAACTCCAGATGATCGTGAACATAAGGGGTTGAAATTGCGTGGGTCTGAAGCACCTGCCTGAAGCGTTTGTGTAAGAATGCAGGGAGAAGCTTCAAAGCTGGTAAAGTTGCTCTCTGGAGCAATGTTTTGGGTCCGACTGACAGCCTTGAAATTCCGAATGGGCCTCTTTTAGTTCTATGACATGGGTAATAACTTTTCATACCTTAGCCTCTTCGTCTGCAAAACGGAGGCAGCTACAATATCTGCCTGGAGTCTTATATGAGAATTAAATAAGCTAATTCTTGTAAATTGCTTAGGAGAGTGTTTTGTACATAATATACATTTGGGGGAAGAGGGCTAAAGATAGAAATGTCTCTAAGCTGGATATCACTGTCCTTTACCCAGTAGAGGAGGTCACAAAACTCCTTAGCCTCTCCCATTTCCAAAGCTCTCTGCTGCCCCCTGCTGACAGCTGCTTGATACTATCGGTGTAACTGGGTTCTCTCCTCCCGACTGTAGTTATCTCCATTCCTTTTCGACAAGTACCCTATTCTACAACCGGGCTAAAATCCGTATCATTCCTCTAAAATTCCATGTTTCTGTGCCATCGCCTGTGCTGCTGCTTCCCCCTAGCATGGCCTTTCTCCCTCCACATCTATCTATCAAAGCCATGCCCACCTCAAGTGCCATGGCATTCATGCAGCCTCCCTTTGTCGCTCCCCAGAATGTGCTCTTCCTATGCACAACCCTCCTCCAGCACGGTCCTCACTCCTCTCTTACCTGTTCCTCTCTGTGCTGTAATTAGTGTTGAACCCGTATTACTGCACAATTGCTTCTTCCTACAGCGTCTAAAGTCCTTTTCGTCCCTCAAATCCTGCAGGATCATCTTTCCTCATTCTCTGATCCAAGCCACATTGGTCTTTCAGTTTTTGCAACGCTCTGTGCTCTCTCCTGTCACAAGGATTCTTCTAAGCTGCTGCTTCTGCCTGGGACACTCTCTCCACTTACTCTTCCTTCAGACAACCTCAGATCTTAGTCCAAACACTACTTTCCAAGAAAACCCTCTTTGATCCCCCTTCCTTGGCCTGATTACCTGTACATAATCTCATAGCAATACCTATGTATTTTTCTAACAAAAAAATTCATCATAGTTTTAAACCTCTATAACATTTGTCATCCCTACAGGACAATGCGCTCCGTGGGGGCAGAAGTTGTGCCTGTCTTTCTTTACTGCTGTATTCCTAGCTACCAGCAAAATGCTGCATACCCAGTACATACACAATAAATATGTGTTGAATGAATAAACAAAGAAGTCACATTAAACAGCATCTTAGCCACAGTGTCAAAACATATGTATCATATATATTAAATCTAAAATCATATTCTATTTCTACCATTCATTTTTAAGATATTAAATTATAGATGATAGACAGATAGATAGATAGATAGATAGATAGATAGACAGACAGACAGACAGACAGCAAGCAAGCAAGGGTTTCTCTGAAACACAGCAAGGAGGCAGAACAGTTCTGATCCTTACCTTCGGTGCTCATATCTGGTGTTGGCATCCAGATGTAGGCCAAGCCTTCTTCCCTATATAGTTTAATCATAGTGTCTGGAGTCATGGGCTCTGGGTAGCGGTTACAGCCTGAGGAATTCTGTACAATATCCCATTCAGTCTGGAAATTCATTACAGCTGTAATCCCCAGTTCACGCTTCAGTTTGATGGTTACATGTTCCACTTGACGAGGGCAGCTACCCAGCCAGATATTTGGTAGAATTCTAATGAGAACATATGGAGTCAACTATTACTAGTGTTGTTCTGATTTGAGGTTTAAGGAGCTGCATAAAAATATGTAGTATTAAAATATAACTAACTTTTAAGTCTGGCACAGGAAAAGCTAGATATTATAGAATATAAGCACCAATGTTATTATTGAAAGAAAAAGTACTGGTGATGCTGCTTTGGGGAAAGCAAGTAATCCAATTAACTAGAACACCAGGAAATGGACATCTGCAAACCAAATCAAGCAATATATTAAAATAAGTCTACCAAGATGTACTTATTCCATGAACGCATATATGGCTCCACATGATAAAAATCCATCAACAGACTTCAAATACTAACAAATTAAAGTTGAAAATTCCTGTAATTATATAAATAAATTCTGAAAAACAAATTTCAGCAGGCATTCTGGTTTAAAAGTCTACATAAAAATTTCAAATAGTATGAGACTTTCAAAATACGCTACAGAGCAGAAGCTAACAAACAACAGACTTCTTTTAAATAAAATTAGAATCAACATTCATTCTATTAGTACCTAGCATTGTTCTATAGGTTTCATCTAATGCTACAAGGTAAGAAAGGGAAATAGCAACATAATTTCCTTTTGGAAATTCTCATTGAGGTTTATTATAGAAAAAAAAATAATGAAATGAAAATGTTAAAAACTCAGAAAAATTTTAGTAACCCTTTAGACAAGAACCCAAGGAGAAAAAAATAAAATAAAGTGTTTATCCAGCCGGATGCAGTGGCTCACGCCTGTAATCCCAGCACTTTGGGAGGCCAAGGCAGGCGGATCACCTGAGGTTAGGAATTTTAGACCAGCCTGGCCGATTCAACTAAAAATATAAAAATTAGCTGGGCGTGCTGGTGGGCACCTGTAATCCCAGCTACTCGGGAGGCTGAGGCAGGAGAATAGCTTGAACCCGGGAGGTAGAGGTTGCAGTGAGCCGAGATCACACCACTGCACTCCAGCCTGGGCGACACAGCAAGACTGTCTCAAATTAAATAAATAAATAAATAAATACAAATAAAAATAAAAGATTTTGTTAACATATTTAGTAATAATTGTCTGATGTTAGGCCAAGTTATTTATCAGCTCTAACCTGTTGGTGTGCTCATCTTTAGAATGGGTCTAAAAATAACAAATAAAAATCTTGTAAGGAATAAATACAATTAAATAATACATCTGAATTGGACTGAAACCAGTGGAAGCACAGTAAATGCAAGTGGATTTTATGTCTAGTTACAGTGATTTACTTATTTTTGTAATTTACTTTGCATTGCATTGTAAAGATTATTCGGTTAATTTTTCATTGTTTCCTATATTCATTTGAATGCTGCAGAATAGAAAATACCCTATTTTTGCTTTTTTCCTTTTGGTGGTTGTTTTCATTGTTGATGTTAACAGGAGAAGCCAATTACTAATCCTCTAATGTGGTCATGACCCATAATCAATGACAATTATCTCAGAAGATCTGGCACTATCTGTCTAAAGCCTGAGCCCTGCTTCCCCTACAGAAGAGGATAAACTGTTTTTTTCCTGCTTGTGTTCTTGTCTAAAGGGTTATTAGGAATTTCCTTGTGGAAATCCTTATCGAGGATTATTATGGGAAAAAAATGATAAAAGAAAAGTTAGACATTGTAAAAGACCTAATGGTGATGGAAAGACGGACATGAAATCCAAGGCTTTCATCTTATCCCTGGCCCCAGATAATTCTTAGATACTCCACTGGACCCAGTGGACTGAGAGAAAGTCCTTGAGCAAGGATACTCACAGGGTGCCCAAGAGTCGTGCTTCACCAGGACGTGGAGAGCTGAGTATTCAGGGGGAAAATTCACACTCACTTGGTGATTGCCCCTTCCCTCTGGCTGCTGAGTGAGACCTGCCTCTATCTAGATTTCCCATCCCTCCTTCCAGATCTTTTAAAGATCCCTTACCCACGGACCTGCTGGATGCCTAGCGAGATGATAGTGCTGGGCTCCCATATATATACTTTGGGGTTGAACTGAGCACACTAAAGCTCCTAAGCTGGAAAAGAGGGAAGTGGACACTTCCATTATATAACCAAGATATAGGAACTATTATAAGATAGTAATGAATTTTTTTTTTACTGGCAAAATTTTAAAGAGGACTGGTAAAATATTAAAGAGAATATTCTTGACAGGCAAGCTAAAATCCAAATAGCACTCAGCATTTTCTTGAATATTGCATTCTGTGAGTGGGCACTAGTTAGTATTTAGCTAGTCAGTAAATGCCACAACAAAATGGCGGACTGATTTTTCACACAAGGTTACATAAAGGCTCCAGAATAGTTCATAGAGATACACAAAGGGTAAATTAGGACATTTGAGCCTGCAATATAAGAAATCAGAGTCAGCATATTCCAAACCAGTCAGTCTATAGAGTCACATGGTGTTGCTAAAAGAGGTGTTATTCTAACATCTCCTTCAGCCCTGGCCTTCAAATGTTTTTAAGGTGATAGGGAAACTCAGAACTAGTCAAAGATAAACAGGCTCAAAGCTGGTAGCTTAACACATATATTTCACACATAACATTTCTGATGGAAATAGGCCCTTAAAATATACATCCAGATATGGTGGAAGTCAGAGTCCATATTTAAGAAATGAGTATGAAATAATTTCTGATATTTTAAAACAAGATGTTCTAAACCTAAGAGACAGATAACTAAAGATAAACTCTGAAAACAAACACTATATTGAAAGATAGAAAAGTAAGGTTATAAAGTGATTTGTACTGAATCTTATATGGGATGCACAGACAGAGACTGGGCCTGTTGGAAACAAACACATCAATGGCTTCTGCTTAATCAGACGGCTAAAGTGCCCTTCATATGCATCCTACTTCAGTTTGTTTTCCAAAAGTAGGTGATATATTTCCAGTTACAGGATTCACTGGGGGTAACAAGATGCATGATATGCTTTCTAAAAAGTAAACTTTTACTTATTAATTCAAAAGAGGATAATTTGATACCATTTAAAATTCATTTTTAATCATCTCATCTCAGTTTTAGTCTTCTCTTGGTATCAATGTTATTTTAAGCAACTTTTAAAATCAGGATTTTTAGGGTGAAAAGAAGCCTCTTGAAATATGAGATTAGAGAATAAAAATTCTCTATAAGTGTAGTTTTAATGCAAGACATACCAAAATTCAAAGATATAATGGAACAAAAGTTATAGCTTACAATTATATCATAAAACTTCCAGAGACTTGTTTCATAAGTAATCAATCATGAACTCAGAGATTTCTGGCAGCTCCACTATAGACTATTTGGAAAGATAAAGAGATGCTAACTGAACCAAAAGGGTATTGACACTCAGTCAGCTCAGGACAGAAGTTCCCAAACCTGACTATACATTCAAGTCACATGAGGTACTTTTATAAAAACATCTATTACCAGGATCCACCTCAGAGATACTTATAGTGAGGCTTGGGAGTTAGGCCTATAATTCTGTAGCTTATTTGATTTTTGGTCTGTTTAGAAATTAACCAGATTACATATGCAGAAGATTCCAGAACCACCTTGGACCACCAGTCCAAGGTCACCATATGCATGTAAGGGAAGCTTAATATATAGAGCCCAATACCTTTTTTTAATATCAGTAAAAAATATGGAGATGAGAAAAAATGGGCTTCCTCAGTCTGACATATCTACAAATTAAGGTAAGTTCTTATCTTTATCTAAAAAATAGTGTCAAGACTACAAATAATTACTAGATAGTGAGGAGTGAGAAATCATTTGTTATGAGAGACAATGTATATCCATGTGTTCAATGCACAGTACCTTCTAACTGGGCAAAACTAAATCTACTTCTGAGTCATGACAAATATTTAATATAGTCCTATGCATAAGAATGTACTTTTATAGAAAAAAATTATTAACTAGGGTTTTGACTATTTCTACTGTGCTATAAGCAGATTATATAATAAATAAAATCTACCCAAGTAATATTACAACTTAGGTAAAGACCAGGGGAAAGAGCAGATGGCTGAAATTATGGAACCTTATTTTCTTGGACTGCAAATCAAAATCAATTTAATTCATTTGAGTGAATCTGGATTTGTGGTTCCAGGTAATCATATCATAATACTACAATATTTGTTTAACCTATCAGTCTTGGGCCTGTGGTCCAACAGCTACTGAAGCGTATGCATCAGAGGCTCAGCTGTCAGTGAAAGGAAGCCCCACTGGCAATAATGAATACATCAGGCAGAATGAGCATCCAAGCACTTTGTAAAAATCACCACAGGGTATCGACAGGAGAAGTGGGTGTCTAAAAGACAAAAGGTATTAGGAGACAAGTCCATTCTACATACTTCACATTAGAGCTTCCATCACTAATGGCCATGAGAAATGGCAGAATAACCTTTTCCTAAAGGTGAAAATTAGCATTATTTTGTATCCATAGAAAGAAAAAAAGATGAGGAAAACCACAGGAATAATGGAATCAGTTTTTGTTTATTTATCACACCTAAAAATCCCAACTGTTGAATTGCAGTGCCCTCTTCCTAGCCATACAAACGAGCACCATTTCAAAAAATAGAGAAAATTGATTTTGCTGAAGCTCTTAACACAACCCAGCTAAGAATTTAAAAGGAAAGAAAAAAAAAAAGCACATTTCCTAAGTTGGAAAATTGTGCTGCATTTATCTTATTTAATATTTTATGGGCAATTCAATGAGAAATTAAAATGTGATCTGGCTTTTAACCATAAGTCCTATAATTTAGATCTCATTAGTGGGAAAGCAAGAGAAACATTAAAATCAACTTCTGGTAAGCTCCAGGCTCAGTAGCACATACAGCTCCTTCTGCTGAAAATTTATCCTCTAGCATCCAGTGTTAAGTTATTAATGCCAAACCTCTACCCCAAAAGGGTACTTATAATAGGCTCCAGTTAAGGCTGAATAACTGCTCAAAGACAAATTCCAATTAAGAAAGTGATACTAATTAGCTTCTTTATTAAAACACAGTTTTATTATAGTTTTCTTATGAGTCATAGACTCATATAGAGTAAAAGTTAATTCCGTAAGTCTAGTTCATTTCTTACATTTTGGGGATATACTATGTAGTTTACAGCCATATGAAAACAAATAATTTTTGACACAATGCTCTTTTATTTTGCATATGATAAAATGCCATATCATTAAATTAATTATAAAGGCCTATTACAGATTGACTTGTGTCCCCCTCCCCAAACTCCTATGTTAAAGTCCTAACCCTTAGGAACTGAGAATGTGACTATATTTGGAGACAGGGTCTCTACAGAGGTGATCAAGTAAAACTGAGGTAATTAGAGTAAGCACTGACTCGAAT